ATATATATTCATAAATTAATAGTAATATGACATATGATTTTCCTTTGTAGAAATTTATTCTCTGGTTTTTGGATATCATAACTACTATACAACACTTTCTCGCCTAAAATGGCTTCAAGCCAAGGTTTGCATTAAACTCAATAATGAAATATTCATATATTATTATATTAGTATATGTGTATGTATTTATAATGCTACATGAACAATTTTTTAAACAGAAGAGAACACTCCAATACCCAGAATTAAAAAGACTCAATATTCTCGGTTGAGTGATGAGCAAAAGAAATCTTACATTCAGAGAATTGTGGATAATAAGAGAAAGCAACACAGTAATGACTCTTCTGGTAATACTATTAATGGCAAACGACAACGTAAAGTTGACCTATTTTGTGGAGCCCTTCTACTGGCCTATGAGCATGAAGGTTGGTGTACATATACTTTATAGTTTATTGAAAGAGCCAAAGTCTTGTGCATATTGTGGATCCAAAAAGTTTGAACATGAGCCTCCAACTTTTTGTTGTCACAACGGTGAAATCCACCTAGCAGATGTGAATATTCCAAATGAATTATTTGCCCTTTATACAATGCATACACCAGAGGCAATTGAGTTCCGAAGCCACACCAGAATGTACAACAGTATTTTCTCATTCACATCGTTTGGGGCAAGATTTGATAAAGAGCTCGCATCAAATAGAAAAGGAGTTTTCACATTTAGAGCACAAGGACAGATATATCATAATCTCCCGGCTCTAATTCCAAAGGAAAATAAGCCTTCATACTTTCAGCTTTACTTCTATGATACAGAGAATGAGTTGCAAAATCGATTGGGAATTCTAGACAATGCAAATATGAGTGAAAGCACAACTAAGAGCTTGATGGATATATTACAAGGAAACCCATATGCAAAGTTCCTTCGCAAATTGAATAATTATCAATCTTTTGAAGAATTAAAGATACTAATAAATAGTAACGTTGCACTAGATCAACGTGTTTACAACTCACCAACAGCAGATCAGGTGGCTGCAATCTGGGTTGAAGGAAATAATGACAATGCACCATTTGAGAGAGAGATTATTGTCCATGCACACTCAGGAGGAAGACATCAAGTGAAACACTATTTTGGCTGTTATGATCCACTGCAGTATCCCTTACTCTTTCCAAATGGAGAGGTTGGATGGCATCAAAATATTAAAAGAAGGGATAAAAGGGATATCAGAGCTGCCAATCAACAAAGAACTATAATACCAACTTCAATATCTCCACCTACCTTCACATCTGCAGAAGACATATTTAACCGAGAAAGTGAAGGTAAATTTTAATTCATATTTCTAAGTAATATTATTATATATGAACATATATTAACGCCTAAATTTACAGGCGTCAAGGCACCAAAACCCGGAAAAATCTCATGCCGAGATTATTATTGTCATAAGCTCCAGATGAGAGACACACGACAATCTTTTATACTTACATCAACAGGTCGTTTATTCCATCAATATGTTGTTGATATGTACATAAAGCTTGAAACAACAAGGCTTGATTACTTTAGAAATAAACAATCAGAAATCAGAGCAGAGTTATTCCAAGGCATTGTCGACAGTGTAGCTGCCGGAGAAGCAAATGCAAGCCAAGTGGGCAAAAGAATAGTTCTTCCATCATCATTCATAGGTGGTCCTAGAGACATGCGTCGTAGATACCTTGATGCAATGTCATTAGTACAACGATTTGGAAAGCCAGATCTTTTTATAACAATGACATGTAATCCAGAATGGGAAGAGATCATTGAGCAACTACATCCAGGCCAAAGCTATAATGACAGGCCAGACCTAACCACAAGGATATTTCGAGCAAAGCTCCAAGACTTGAAAGATCAACTATTTAAGAAGGAGATCTTTGGGAAAGTTGTAGCACATGTTCATGTGATTGAGTTTCAAAAAAGAGGGCTACCACATGCACATATATTAATAATTCTTATTGGAGATCACAAGATCACATTATCAGTTCAGTATGATAAATATGTATCTGCAGAAATTCCAGACCAATCCAAACACCCGATCCTCTATGAATTGGTAAAAAAACATATGATGCACGGACCTTGTGGAGAGTTGAACATGAAGAACAGTTGCATGCAAAATGGAGAATGCAAATATCACTATCCTCGTGATTTTAGCTCACAATCAATTCAAGCAAAAGATGCTTACCCAATTTATAAGAGAAGGAATGATAACAAAATAATGTTGGTCCGCAATAAAATCCTTAATAATCAGTGGGTTGTACCTTACAATCCATATTTGCTGACACGTTATAATTGTCACATTAATGTTGAAATATGCTCAGGCATTAAAGCAGTGAAGTATTTTTACAAATACATATATAAGGGTCATGATAAAGTGGTAGTAAACATTGAATATAATGAAGGAGGAAGACTTGTGAATGAAATCAAAAATTTTCAAGATGCAAGATGGGTATCAGCTCAAGAAGCTTTGTGGAGAATATATGAATTCTATCTTAATGAGATCTACCCAGCTGTCATCAACTTACAACTACACTTGCCGAATCAACAATTTGTTTCCTATTGGAAAAATCAAGACCTATCGAAGCTCATCCGCTGGGACCATGTCCACAAGATGATGCTCACAGAATTTTTTACCCTATGTTCAAAAATAAAAGAAGCCAACAAATCAAAACCAAAAAAGGATCAAGAAAAGGAGTTATTATATTGTGAACTTCCCGAATATTATGTTTGGGATTCGACAACAAAATGTTGGAGTCCAAGAAAACAGAGACAGGTAATAGGCCGTATAAATGGTGCTAATCCAATTGAAGGGGAAAGATATTACTTACGCCTTTTACTTACTCACATCAGATGCCCCCACCTCATTTGAGAATCTATTGACCGTGGATGGAATTCAATGCACATCATTCAAACATTCAGCTCAAAAATTAGGTTTATTGGAATCAGATAATAGCATCAGAGAATGCTTAGATGAAGCCGTCATCTTTCAAATGCCAGCAACCCTTCGGGAGGCCGAACAGCACATTCCAGATTTAAGATAAAAATCCCAACAACAGAATCATCTATGTGTAGCATATCCAAGCAAGATGGAACCTCAAAGCTGATTAAGATAGCTAAGTTAATAATTTGGGATGAAGCTCCAATGGCTAAACGTGTTGCAATTGAAACATTAGATAGAACATTAAGGGATATAATGGATCAAGATGAACCATTTGGTGGCAAAGTAATAGTATTTGGTGGGGATTTCAGATAAGTTTTACAAGTAGTACCCCGCTTAACAAGATCACAAACTGTTAGAGAAAGTTTAGTAAGCTCATATTTGTGGAGCAAAATGAAAAAGTTGAAGCTATCGAAGAATATGAGAGCAAGAACAAATTCAACATTTAGCGAATTCCTTTTAAGAGTTGGAAATGGAGATGAACCGATAGTGGCTGATGACCTAATAGCATTGCCCACTTCTATTTTGATAAAGAATCAAAGTGATGATTTACCGGAAATTGTCTAATAAATGCAATTTTCCCATCTTTAGATGAGAACTTCAAATCTATTGACTATATGAAAGATCGAGCTATCCTGGCAACAAAAAATGAATATGTCAATATGCTAAATGATAGAATCATAAAACAATTTTCAGGTGAAGAAAACGAATTCTACAACTTTGATGAAGCAGTTGATGACACTAATCATCACTACCAGCCAGAATTTCTTAACACGTTGCTACCAAATGGACTACCACCCCACAAGCTAGTATTAAAGAAACATTGTCCTATTATTTTA